CATTGTACAGTGGTATTAAGTGCCGTAATGTGTAACTCTGACTATAAAAGGCGTGACGTTATGTTAATTAAAAAATAAATCCAAATACAATAAAGCAATGATAGTTTTTTTTACAACTTAATTATTGCCTATCCTTACTTATATTATAAATCGGAATGTGAGTTTGTTTGTTTGTTCCGCTTTCACGCCGTAACTACTGAACCGATTGCTTTGAATTTTTGCAGATGTATAGTTAGAAGTCTGGATTAAATAATAGGGTACTTTTTATCAAGGAAAAATTTGATATTCCCGAGGGAAAAGGAAGAAAAAGGGAAATAGATGGCGCTGTGTGTATTGGTATATGTCACATAGGCTACTTTTTATCCTTTTGTGACGCGAGCGAAGCCGCGGGTAAAAGCTAGTACATCTATACATATAAATAAAATTGGAGTGGCTCATTGACCGAATGGTTGCAAGTGCGACTGCCGTAACTGCAATTGGGTATCACACACCCACGTAAAGAGCAAATGTTATTTTAAAATATTAGACAGATATTTTTTATTTTCTCACAAAATTTAATACTTCCGAGACGATATATTAATTTGAAATGTCGTGTGACGTCACGATTTACTACATTTTATAGGTTTTTTCAAGCGGGGTAAAATCATCGAATGCCTGCTCCCGCCTGGGTGAGGCGGGAGGGAGTGTCAGACTCTTACTGACTAAAACCCACCCCGTTCCTTCTCCTGCACGTCGAGCCGGAGCCCCGGTTACCCGTTAGGTTCTCCGCGACAAATTTTATAGGGTAGTGTGACGTAACGACTCTTAAACTTAACTCTGTTTTATCTAAGTATTGTTTTCTTATATCTATACTAATATTATAAAGGGGAAAGATTTGTACTTATTTTTGTATGATTGTAATGAATAGGCTCAAAAAGTACTGGGCCGATTTAAAAAATTCTTTCACCAATAGAATCCTACATTCTTCTAATTAGACATTTCATTTCATTTCATTTCATTTATTCAATAAACAATTTACATTGTATCTGAATGTCTTCATTCATTATCATAAATCTTAATCATAAATTACATTGCAATATAATCCATACAGCATGGATCAGTCATATTACTCATAAAACAAAAAATAAAATCAACAGAACAATTTAAATAATAATAAAACGCGAAATAATCAAATATAACATGACAAAAATCCAATTTAAAAAGAAATTACATAATTGGGTACTTTTCACGATAAGAATAGATCAATTATAATTTTTTTCCGCAATTAAATGATTGAATTAAAATAAATGTCAACAAAACACTGCAGTACTACATTAAATCATTGAATTAAAATACATGTCAAGAAAACACCTCGATAACACATTAAATTATTGAATTATAATACATGTCAACAGAAGCACTGCACTAATACATTAAACAATAGAATTAAAATACATGTCAACAGTAACACTACAATAATACATCAAACAATTGCAACAAATTAACATCACTGCAATAACACTATTACAGTTCGTCAACTGCATTATTTGACTCGTCGTCCGATAAATTCTCCCTATCATTTTCAGAGTTAGATCTGCAGTTTCTTGTACGAAGTGTGATATTATCCATTTTTTTTTTTTGTGTATAGAGTTATTATAATTTTAATATTTCAACTAAACTTATCGTAGAAATATGTTCCAAACAGCCAAACAATTTCGAAGAAAATCATTCAAAAAGTACCATGTGTGACCACTGGGGTTTGATCTCATGCTCATTCACGTCAAAGTCAAGCCAAAATATGTTGTGCTATGTAAACATAGCACAATGTGACAGAATTTTCAAACGTATGTCTCGTCGTTAGATTTTTAATTTAAGAAAGAAGGTAATAATGTGTATAATTATGCAGAGAAAAAATTTTTTGTGCATTCGAACACACAGCACTCAATTATTGTTTTCCAGAGATTTAAACTCTTTCTGGCCAAATTGTCACTTCACTTCGTCGTTAACTTGTGGTTTACAGGGCTTTATTATGGAGAATATACTTATTTTCTTTTGGGTTATTTGTTTATTTTGCTATTTTTTAGTTTTTATTTCCTGATTAGGTCCGTCACACATTTCACTGGATAACACTGTCACATAAACTTTAAGGGTTATTACACAGTTTTACGTGGTACTGATACTGTAAAAGTGTTTTTAACTATTTTTCGTAAATAAAACAACACGGACTCGAGGTTACTGCGACGGCCAGCGCCATCTATATTGACATGACATAGGCTACATTTCATTTTGAAAAAAAATAAGGATCCTTGGTAAAATTTGAACAATGTAACCGGAGGTGTAGAAAAATGAGTCTTTAAATGTCTTTCGTCGAATGCGCTGCCGAAACTATTAGCGATAGAACAAAATAATGTACAACAATATTGAAGAACATCATAATGTCTACAAAAAACTCCGCGGTAGCATATGTCCAACTATCATAGTTATGTCATTACAACAATCCAAATTTCCAAAAATAAATAATTGTCTACCCCGTGCGAAGCCGGGACGGGCTGCTAGTCTTAAATAAAAAAATATGTGTTTAACATTTTTTTATTATCTAACTGACGGACTAATTACATTTTTAATTTTCATACACTGTGTGCTATCGTATTACTGGTGCCACTCTTGACCCCGTTTAGTCTTCAGATGTATATATTTAATATGGGACAGCATTGCAGTTCGTTGTGTGAACTTGGACGAACAATATTGACATTCATACGGCCTCTCCCCGGAATGGGTGCGCATATGATTCATCAATGTTCGGTTGGCCTGAAAATTAGGGAAATCCATATAGGTATTCGTAAAGAAATTCTTAATTAATTAACTAAAAATCGCAAGTTAGTCTCGTAGAAATACTGAGAAAAGCTCTACTAGTTTCGAGCCACAGAGGGGTCCTTCGTCATGAGCAGCGTGCGCGGTCGTAGTGGCGGCGATGTCGCGCAGCCTACTGAGTAAGAACCCCTCTGTGGTTCAAAACTAGTAGAGCTTTTTTCAGTACATTCACGTGAGTAGCCCGCGATTTTTAGTTAATTCAGTACATCTCAAAATAATTATAGAAATTCGTATTAGTTATACTATTAATAACTCAAGATCGGCTAAATCGATTTGGATGAAAATTGGTAAGGAGGTAGCTTAGGATCAGGAGACAGACATAGGATACTTTTTATGCAATACTTTTTTACTAAATAAATTATTATGTTTTCAGCTTACTCACGTAATGATTTGACGAGGAACTCGACTAGTTTCAAGCCATATTAGAGGCTCATATTCATGAGCAGCATTTCGCGACCCGCGACGCGGCGACTGTCGCGCTGCTACTACTCGAGTGTGCGCCCAGCGCGCCCTCTGCCGTGATTGACGCGCACTTTCTTCCATTCGTGATGTCGGCGACGGCGGCGCGTGGCACTGTCGGCACGCTAGACTCGCCCGCCGGCAGCTGCGTTGGTGTTGTTGAGTTCGAATCCCGGGTCGACGCAAAAACAGTGTTACATACCGCGCTCACTGTGTCACACTCCAGACCCCCAACACTGTAGTCTGACGCAGATTTCAGACTCGGCTTCCAGGCAGGTGTTAATGCCCAGCCACCGTCTCTGTTGAAGTTCGGACGACGGCTTATTTCGTCGACAGTCGCCGCGTCGCGGGTCGCTTAATGCTGCTCATGAATATAAGCCTCTAGCATGACTTGAAACTAGTCGAGTTCCTCGTCAAATAATTACGTGAGTAAGTCGAAAACATAATAATTTATTTAGTATGTCTCACGAAAGTTACAATGCTTTTTTACTTGTTAATGAAAATCATGAACGGGAACGGGAAAACACGGGATTGAATATATAGTTACCGCAAAACCCCTGCCACAAATATTGCACAGTTTGTTCTTTTCTTTCTTGACCCCTTCATGGTTATACCTCATGTGATCTATGTATCGTGTGCGGTTTAAAAAGTGCTGAAATCAAACCATTATTTTACTACAATGCTACCCATAATATATGGGAAATAGACAAATTTTATTTGAGGGAGAGCCATGCTTCAGCACTATTGGGTCGGCTCGACCACAGTGCTACCACGGCCGAACAGGAAACCAATATAATTTTTATATATAAGGTGTAACAAAAATAGTGCACAATATTTTAGTAGGTCAATTAGTATGTGATAAACATCATTTTTTTATGAAAATATTTTATAAAAACTTATCAATTATTTTTAAAAATTCAATTATTCATTTATTATTTTCATTGCTTTTTATGCCATTCTGCAATATGTACCTGTTCGAAAAGCTCGGT